GGGGGGGGGGGGGGGGGGGGTTCAGTAGCGCAGCACCCCCAAATCATATCATTACCTTGGCATCCTTTTTCTCAGCGGTGCTCCACATCCCTGGCGACGCGGTGCGAAACCCAGATGTTCCAGAAGAGCTGACATCCATTGAGCCAGAACATGCGATAGCGGAGAGGCACGAACCGGTAGTTCACTGCCTGGTATATGGGTACCACGGTCAGGGCGTTGAAGTACAAGCGCGGAAAGTCAGTGGAGAGCTTTGACTGCACTTCTGCCCTCAGCTGCTGAACCGAACCACCTGCAGCTTCAAAGACTCCCAGCGTCTTCAAGGAAGCTGTTGCCGTCATGTTGCAAGCAAGGTATACAGGCGCGATCGTGCAGCTCTCTAGTAGAAGCTTCTGATACCAAAGTCGCCGCCCGGGGAAGACTCGCTCGATTATTTGGTACCACACGTGGAACATTGGGGCCATAACCAGTCCGCCGACGAAGGCGTAACGCAGCGCACGAGCCAAAGAGTAGTCGGATGTCAACTCCTGGAATCTTAGGGGTAGTTTAGGGTTTTAGGGCCTACTACTGTTGACTTCTAACTTACCTTGATCAGGATCTCAATCAAACAGCCAAGCAAAGAGCATGGAATTCCCGACTATGGTGACTGAAACTCTGTTTAACAGAAACCAAGAGTCATAGATGTCTCGTCCAGCCTGTATCCCAGTGTCTCGGTTGGATGCTCCTTTCGAACACCGCTCCGCCAACTGAGCCGCGCTGTCTGCCAGGAAAAAGGTGCCCGAGGACACGGCAACGCTGTGCGCGAAAGCGGCCGACATCTGTTGCACAAGCTGCTACAAGATGAAGGAAACAAGCCTGTTTAAGATGGAAGTGGAGCCTCATCCTTTCGAAACCGATGGCGTGGCTTCATGAACCCGGCCTTCTTGACAGATTGCGGTACACGTCGCTTCCGGCCTGAAATCTTGACACGCGTCTCCCGGAATCCCCTCAGTTTAAGTGCTTTGCCGCTCTAGGTCGTCCTTGTTGTAAAAACAATACTACAACCAACTAGATGTATGTAGAGTTCTTCATGGTTGCATCGTGTCTGCTGCTCATTCTAAATTTCCTTGTAGAAGACCGTTGTGAGGTCGACCGTGCTAGGCAAGAAGACCGCATGAGTCCGCATGAGGTGCTGTGCTCTGAAGCCCAAACAGCTTCTTCGATTCGATACAGGCAGCCCTAAACCCTAAGCCCTAAAAGGGCTCGAACGACTCCAGCAGCCTGATTCCTTCTTAGGGGCTCATGTGTTGAGGAATTCTGGCATTTCCGGTGATCCTCGTGCTTGAAAATAGGGGGACTAAAGGAGGGGGACATCAAGAAGCTGCTCAAGCCGCAAACCTGGCGACTCGAGTTGCGAAGGTCAAGCCCAGATGTGGCAAAGACGCCGCACTTGGATCCTTGCTTTAATCTGCTGTGTTTTCAATCGTCGCAAGTAGCAGCGTACTTAGACAAGCAATCACACCCACCACAGTGGCGACGCTCTTAGGAAACCAAAAGACCGAAACCGGCTTCGGGCAGCGATGTTCAATCCCGAAGATGCCTGCATTGTTGGGTTTAGGGTTTAGGGTTTCGGATCTCTCCAAGCCGCTAAACCCTCAAAACTCTAAGCTGCGAGCCCTATGCCCTGAAACCCGTCTAATACCCTTATAGCACCCTTCTAGTACCAGGATAGCCCTGTACATCATCCCTGGCCTGCTTGCAGCCGCTCGGTGGTCAAACGAAGCTCCCCAGCCTCTGCATGACCGGTCGTGGTGATTAAGGCCTGAACTAAACCCTGTGAGGGTACTGTGGCTTGCCTCCCACCAGTATTTTTATCTGGTCGTAGTAGTAGTAGTAGTAGTAGTAGTAGTAATAGTAGTAGTAGTAATTTTTTCCGCATGGCATTCCGCGAGCTGCTAATACGCGATATGTATGACATACACATGTGTGCATACATATGTACGCGTGTGTGTGTGCGCGTGTATGTATGTGT